CCGATCCGTAGAGCTAGCTGCCTAGTGCCTACTGTTAATTTTAAGTTTTTAACTGCTGCCTGTCTACAAAACATGTTTTTAATAGCGTTTATAAAGGCGCATGCTGCATAGTTGTCATACCAAATCATATTCCTCCAGAAATTCTTCAAGGAAATCCGATTTGTCATCCGGGTTCATACAGCACATTAATGTTTGCAGTTTTTCAAAGTGATCTTCATGAGCAGTTGTCAGGTGATTCTCCAAAACATTCCTGTGTGCTGATCATAAACGACAACCGGACATTCCATATTTCCATTGCATTCCGCAGGACATGGGCACAACAGATTGATCTGCACGTTGGTTAGTGCGTGCGCGGCTTGCAGATGTGCCTTCAGTGTTTCCGTCGACGTATAGCACAGGTTCTTACAAGCGTCGCCGTTTACGGTCCCGTATAAAGGACATTTAATCGGATTGTAACCATACTACACATTGTAGTCGGTCAGTTTGAAAGAGAAACCGCAAACGTAACTTCATAAGTACAGTACAGCTAAGACAAACGTCCAGAATAATAAAAACCAATAAGAATTATACTGGTACTCGCTATTCTTCCAAATGTTTTACCAGGCTCTTACCGATAATGTTCCCATAACGAGCACATGACTGGCCAGTTCCGTTTTGCGTATAATAATACTATGAGGAATTATGGTCGTTTCCAGCACTTTCGTATCGGGTCGCGCGGAGTATTTCTAGGAAATCGCATATCTTTAACAAAATTAATAGAAAGCGTCTCTTTATAAGCTCAACATATCTATTCTGAATAATATTAAAAACTCTGTTGACTTACTTGAACTACATACTTTAGTTTGCAGTACACTACTATACAAGTAATAAAATTAATAATTATGATAATTCGATCCGCTTTTTGCTGGTCTGTATTCATCAGCCTATAATATTCTGAGGATGTAGGTTCCTCGATAAATATACCAGAACGTTCGGTAGCTTCGGGCAATTCATCGGTTTTGCATCTTGGGACGAAGAGTTAGGAGAATCGTTCGGGTCGCTGCTTGATTCTCCAGTACGAGGAACTTTCTCGTCTCGCTCCCCACGTTTGAGCTTCTGGTCGAACGTATTATCACTATCCGAGGAGATGGCCATCGGTTCAAGATGATCGCGTGATATCATTTTGATGGTTGAAAACGGTAAATTTAATACAACAAAAAACGTTGTCCACACTCCACAGTACTATTGTACTGTACAGTGTGTACACAGTTGTTCCCACAGAACTGTAAGCTGCAGTAATAAATAAAACAATCCCAAGTTAGCGACAGTCGCAACACCATCGCAATACTCGTAATGTTGTTGCGTCAGCCTGCATGATGGCTGCATCGCAAGACTCGCATTAAAAGGCCTACTGTAATGCCTGCCATTTATACCGGCCTAAAAAATGCGGTACATACATAGCCTAAACAAGCTGATTTAACATCTGACTGGTATTATGTATAGCAATATAATAATAGCATTAATATTATTATGTAAGTTCATGCAGAGAAACCACAAAAGGAAAACTATTCAAACCGCCTGTTTGTGCTCTTTGGCAGAAGTAAAATAAGTTGCCATTTGCCAAGTACACAGTACATATTATCGACCGGAGTGCAGCGAAGGTCCTCTAATTCAGCACCAATGCAAAACGTACTGTATCTGTGTCCGTTACGGAAGTGCCAACAAACGATAACACAAATAATAAAACAATAACAAACAAACAAACAATAACGCAAATTGCGCCTACAACCATTCGCGGTAACTTTCATTCCGTGCATAACCACTTTTGAATCCGTTAACTCTGAGTACCGGCAAATGCGAAACGGATTTATTTTTTACTTGTTAATGAATTTCCACAACAGCTGTTTGTTTTGAAATTATTTCGATCCAAGCTGTGTACATTTCTCATAAAATCTACTGAACTTCAAGGTAACAGCGCAAAAAAATGCAGTTTCTGTTGTCTCCTCCGAGTGAATTTTCAGACGTCGAATTCAGGAATTTGACACACGGAAAATTCGCTGACCACCCCTCCTGCTGATCGACAATTTGCTGAGGACGTTTTGCTGACCGAAGAAACGATGACCCGACCGGTGAATCATTGATAGTACATAGCACATAACTGGAAAAAATGCGTTGGCGTGCCTTGACAGGCCGGAGCGTTGCTGGAAAGGTTGGGAACGGTGTGGTCACACATTCAACCGAGCATTTTTGTCGTGTTCTCTGAGTTTCCCAAATTCAATGACAGGCTAGGGCGTTCGAAAGTGCCAGACAGTATCGTCCTTTATAATCAGTTGCGCAAGAAATCCGCAGAGTCGGATGCCGAGCCGAAACGGAAACAGCCGTTGTGTGCCGCTGAGCGCGTATTGGCGTTGCCGCTGGAAGTGCTAAAGGAGACCTTTCAGTCATTGGACACCGTTAAAGGCTGCGCTGCCGCCGCACCTGTCAACAGTGGGATGCCATTCTCACGTCGACGAAGCTGTGTACTGATGTACGTGTATCGCGGCAGCGGACCCGATCGTCAACGCGCGCCAACTCTCAGAAATGCGAGCATCAAACACATAACTACGACTGCATTTTTTCAGGCAATATTCCAGCGATTTCTTGCGAGCATCAAACACATAACTACGACTGCATTTTTCAGGCAATATTCCAGCGATTCTGATGATCAGCTCCAATGTGCCAAACCATGTACTCACGATCCCAGTACTCCACCGAACAATCCTACAAGACAATCAAACCATACTTATCGATTATGATTTTTCAGTTAGTGCTAATACGTTGTGCCACAGGTAAATGAAATAGTACATAAATATACCAATTATACGACGAAACAAGCATGTGTGTCATTGTGTGAAATGTTTTACTGTTACGATTTTTTCCTAAGTTCAAAAGCTGCTGCATGGAAGAAGTACGAGAAGCCCACCATATGGTCAGCATGCTCATGTTGCCTGCCCTTAAAACTGGAAAACTGGTATTTTAATTCGAAATTTAGAAGTTCTTTATGAGCCAGCATACCGGTACAGGGCACGAGTACTTGCAGAAGTGCCGGTGCATTTTGTCACTACAACAATCTTCACACTTCTCCAAGGAACCATCCAAAGTCTCTGACGAGCACACGACGCCGATCCATATCCATTATCAAGTCCCTTCGGTTCTGTGAACACAACGAACAGTATTAAATTGTCTTGAAATCTGAATTCCTAAGTTCCCATACTAAATTAACTCATATCTCCAGTCGCCACCGCCAGATTAAATCGCTTTGCACGACAGCAAAAAAACAAAGTTTTAGCCCCATTCTATTCTTAGTGGAGCTAAAGTGGCCATGAGAATTTTACCTTTCAAAGTGAGGTGGCGGTGACAGACGGACACCACATTTTTCATAGAAACTTAATATAGAGAACCTTCGCTACGCTTCGGTCGAAAGTGTTAATATTACAAAACCCACCTGCAATGCGTTCTCGGAGTAGTCGGGCTTGCCGCAGAGTAAAGGATGCATCGCTTTCACGTGTGATACCATATGCTTCGTTTCGGCCATCGCGATATCATTGCATCCCTGGTGAATGAACCCAAACGCTTTAGTGACTTCAGAGTAAGTTCAGACACATGTCAAAGTAGAAAAAGAGCTCACTGGAGCAGGGCATCCAAAGAACAGGTCGGTTTCCATGCGCACCTGCTCCTCGTGCGCAACAGCGATATGACTTTTTATTTGTCGCGCGTAGCGAAAGCCAGTTCTTTTACATGGTTCAAGATTGCAGACGTAACGTAAGCAGCAATTCTGTGAAATAAAGAACGTTCTATAAACTGCTGTAAAACGCATCTACCTAGAATTCTGGAGGATAAATATAATCATTTTGCTAATTACTGCAACCCCACCTCTACGACGGTAGGAATGACGAATTTATCTGGAATAATCTGGCTAGGAAACGGTTGTTTTGCATCCAGATCGAGTACCCATTCCGGAAATGTTTTACGCCCGTTCAGATGGTCGAGATATTTCATATCTTCCATTTTCTGTTATCAGACCAAGGGTTAAAATGAATCCTTGTATAAGTAAGCATTGAAAACAGTAAATGTAGCAATATGTTTGTTAGGCCTTTAAAATAATCAGGTGGATAATTATAATCCAATAATAATAATGGTGTTAATAATAATCCAATCTGTAGAAAATTCTTCGTATGATTCCACCGTGGAATCATACATGAATTTTCCACAGATTGGATTTTGTATGTTGATGCGGGTGGATTAATTGTGGTGAACAAAATCTGCAGGCTACGCTTTTGTCATACCAAATCATTCTCCTCCAGAAATGCTTCGAGAAATTCCTTCTGGTCGTCATCAAGCTTATCGCAGCATGACAGTGTTTGCAGTTTTTCATAGAACTCCTTATGAGCAACCGTCATGTGGTCATCCAGAAACACCCCGGAGTACTGATCGTACACCACAACCCGGCATTCCTCATTTCCGTTGCATTCCGCGGGACAGGGACACAGTAGATTAACCTGAACGTTAGTCAGTTCGTGCGCGGCTTCCAGATGAGCCTTCAGACTATCCGTCGACGTGAATTCCACTGTGTTACAAGCGTTGGTTTCGGTTCCGTACGGGCACTTGATAGGATTGTCTCCATACTGCAGATTGTAAGCGGTCAAGGCCAGTTAACAATAAATAACAAAAACATAAGTGACAGTAACCAAGGATCTTATTAGCCAGCCATAAAATTTATCGTTGGTCTCTTACCGATACTGTTCCCATAACAAGCACATGATTGGCCAGTTCCGTTTGGCGAACAATAATTTTATCAGGAATTACGGTCGTTTTCAGCACTTTCGTATCGGGTCGCGCGGAGTATTTCTACGAATAAAAAGTCCCGTTCCTATCACGTTTATTTTCAAGCAGTCCAGAATACCGTAGATTATTCCAGTGCGATAAATAGTTATCATTATTCAGTTTCAGTACAGTAAGTACTTTGTTCAGCTTTAACAACCGTTCACAAAATTCACGGAAATCCAGCCTAATTTACTCTGTATAATATGTAATTAATCGTAATTATAATACACTTAAATTCTACAATTAATTGTTAATACCCAGATTATGCTTTTAGTGATCTTTGCTCTTCGGCGTCAAAGCGCAGACCATGAACAAATTTTTTAAGGAAAAAATTACCAGCACATTCGATTGTTCCAGGGCCTTCATCGGCTTTCCGTCTTGGAACAACTCAGAGTTAGGAGAATCGTCCGGATCGCTGCTGGATTCTCCAGTACGAGGAACTTTCTGGTTGCGTTCCCATCGTTTGCGCTTCGGGTTGAACGTATCGTCACTATCCGAGCAGGTGGCCATCGGTTCAAGATGATCATAAGACATCGTTCTGGAGCAGACCATAAATTTAATACAGCAAAAGTTACAAAACTCACGAAAAAGAACGCCGCGATGGCGCCAAACGCGAATCAACGTTAAAGAGAAAGTCCCCAAGTGCAGAGTCGCATTGACTTGTTGACGCGCCGCAACAGGCTACTACTCTTACATGCGTAGAACGTATTTGCAAATGGATAGCAAACCGGATAAAAACAGGTATTTGACGCTCAAAAATATAATATTTACAGTAAAATTTAGTATTAACCGTTAATAATTAACGATAAAATAGTATTTGCAAACTGCAGTGTGGCAGTGTGCTGCGCGAAAATCGTTGGTCTTCAGTGACTCTTCATTCGCTTGTCCGTTGTGGCTTGTCTGAACAGTTTAATCTGAAACTGGAACCCGGCGGCGGAAACGTTTGCGGCGCCCGTCCGCAGTTCAGCCAACGTTTTCAGCCGTCTGTTCACAACGATGGATCATGCACACAAACAGCGAATTATGGTAAGTAATTTTATTGGTCAAAACAGACGTGATACACAAAATGAAAGAACCACGAAAAATTACAACAAGAACATCTTATTTAATTTATCAATTCCTTCCATCGTGCCCACTGCTCAGCATTGATGCCGCGTTTCCGTTGAATTTCTATCGACAAGCGCTTTCGTAAAAATTGTATTTACAGTAACATGTAAAAAAACTGACAAAACTGAATTAAATTTCTTTTTAAAAGTTGTCACTGAAGCTAATTCTTTTACTCCCGTTAACGGGATCCTTGCGGGCTCGCTCAAACTGCGCCTGCTTACTGCGTTGCTTCTCTTCCTTGTACAAAGGGCACAGCGAACGTGGTAACAGACGTAATTCGCGGTCACCAAATCCGCCAGCTTCGGTTTGACGCGTTTCTCGGGCGTCCGGATAAGCGCAGGCCCTGTTGTAGGCGCAGGTGGTGGGGACGGTATTCAGGCAGCTGGAGGATTTCAATTTCAGGCAGACTTTGTGATTCTCCTTGTTGTCGATAGACCAGATGTGGAGAGTGCCGTCGTAGGAGAAGGTCAGAATTCCGATTTGATTTTGGGCGAAAACCAGCCGAAAGTTAGCATAGCAACGTGGCCCTAAACAGAACCTTACAAACTCAAACTGCACTCGGTAACGGAGAATATCGGCAAACAGTTTGAGAAAATACAAAACTAGCTTATCGAAAATTTTTCGGCAATAAAATATAATTTAACATTGCTATAATAAAAACCACTTTGTATTACGCATAACGTTAAACATAATACTGTAATATTAAAAATAAATTCATGAAAGTTAACAATTAAACGAAAACACATCACACCAGCATTCAAAACTGGAAACGATAATCTATCAAAATCTTCTTCCTACCAGCAAAAAGTTATTGATAAACGGTAATATACTTCAAGCAGTATTCCAGATTTTTTGATGATCAGCTCCAATGTGCCAAATCATATGATCTCGATCCCAGTACACCACCGTGCAATCCTACAACGCAGCAATAAAACTTGAAGATTATGCCGGAACACGCATCTATAGCACACTTTTTAACGCAATATTGTTTTCTTAATCAACGCTCCGCACATACCTCGGCCGGACAAGAGTACTTGTACAAGTACCGCGTGCACTCCTCCTTTTCGCTCTCAGAACTGCTGTCATCAGAATCCTCAGATGAACCGTACAAAGTCTCTCTGACCCGTACAGAACCACTATCCATTTCCATTATCATGCGCTCTCGTTTCTATGAACACCAAAACATAAAATCAGAATCTGCAGCCGGCATTTTATACGAACACGATGGCTATGCTGTACAGTAGCCGCTTGCCGTCTAATAATCTTTTTAATATCAGTATTGACGCAGTATGCGTCATTTGCTGCGACTTCCGTATAGCATGTCAGTATCTTTATTTTCAAAATTAGTATGCTGTGGTTTTTGTGAAATAGTGTCAAATGCCCAGAGGAGACATATGTCCCACTGCACAGGACAATAAATAAAACTGATATTATTGTTATTATCACCGTACTGCGATGAGAATAATCCTAATTTCAGATTTTAAAAAAAATGAAATCTGTAATCTGCAGCGGCCCCATGAGTAAGATTATCAGAAAGAAAACGCTACACTCACCTGCAAAGCGTTCTGCGAGTAATCAGGCCTGCCGCACAAAGAAGGATGCATCGCTTTCACGTGCGATATTATGAGATTCGTGTTGGACTTCACGATGTCCTTGCATCCCTGCAGAAAAAGCACAAACGCTTCAGCTACTCACAGCACATGCGCTTTAGCCACGAAAAGGACAAACGCTTAAGGTACACATAGCGTGCTACAGCTTCAATTACTCACTGGGGCAGGGCATCCAAAGTAAAGGTCGGTCTGCATGGGCACCTGTTCCAGGTGCACTGTGCAAATGTGACTTCTGATTCGTCGCGGGCTGGGGAAACGGTTCCCTTTACATGGTTCAAGGTTGCAGACGTAATACAAGCAACGATTCTGCAAAACAAGCGCTTAGTACTTCTCAAAAATGTCAGAACACACCTGTGGACACTAGTGTACAGATTAGAATAAATTCTGTACGGCTGCACCACACCTCTACAACTGTTGGTTGAACGAATTTATCTGGAATCAGCTGGCTTTGAAACGGCTTAGTCACATCGCGTGTCCATTCCGGAAACGTTTTACGCCCATCCAGATGCTTAAGATAATCCATATCTTTCCTATTCTGTTTTTAAAATAAGAGTTAAACTGCTGAAAAGCGTACGAGTAAAGTAGTTGCAGCCAGAATAAATTTGGACAGCGGAAGTGAACATTATGAAACGTGATACGTAATTATGTTCCGCATTCCAGCGGAATTTATTGACCGTGTCCGTGAACATAATATAATGCACGTGCTCAGTAAATTTAAAATCCATATAAATTTTAATATTGAATTACAGCTTATCTTTTATTGAGTTTTTTCGTTTACTAAACGAAAAAGCACTGACAGCTTCGCGCGAAGCTTGACGATGCAGTACTCGGAAAGCCGGCCATCTAGTGTTCATAATACATGTTAAAGCACGAATTAAAGAAAATGGCATATTTATCATGAGTTAAAAATAATATAATAATCCTTTCAAGTTTGCTGGCTCCCTCGTAAAAAGGAGTCTGACAATAGCTGGCGCGTTCATATTTCATTAGCACACCTTAATTCTCCCATCTGAAGCCTCTTCCGAAATTTGTACCCAACTCATTTGTACCCAGACTCAATGAAAGCGTTAACTTGCCAGTAACAGCAAACACAATCTTGTACCCGTTCGCCAGTCACCATAATTTTCGCACTGATAATACGTAGTAGGAAAATAATGACCCGTTCATATATGCAATCCAGTTTTTGTACTAAACAATTTTTAATAGGAAACCGTACCAAATTGTTTTCCTTCAGGAATGCTTCAAGGTCATCCTGCTCATCGTCATCGTCAACATCCACGCAGCACAGTAAGGCCTGGAGCTTGTTGTAGAACTGCTCATGAGCCTCTGTCAAATGATCTACCAGATACAGTCCTGAGTACTGATCATATATGGCAACCGGACATTCTTTATCTCCGTTGCATTCCGCCGGGCAGGGACACAACAGATTGATCTGCACATTGGTCAACTGGTGCGCGACTTCCAAATGCGCCTTCAGCCGATCCGTCGACACAAACTTGACGTTGTTGCAGGCGTTGGTTTCGGTCCCGTACGGACACTTGACAGGACTGTCAGAATACTGCAGAAGTGGCCAGTTATAGGCACACAGTCACATATGAATGACTAATAATCCATAAATAATACATAACAATAAAATTATAACTAATAACCGTAACCAACAAGCTTTTTAGACAGCTATAAAATTTATCGTTAGTCTCTTACCGATACTGTTCCCATAACGAGAACATGATTGGCCAGTTCCGTTGTGCGAATAATAATTTTGTCAGGAATTACGGTCGTTTTCAGCACTTTCAAATCGGGTCGCTCAGAGTACTTCTACGAAGTAAAACGTCCCGTTCCTATCACGTTTATTCTTCGAACAGTTTAAAATGCATTATTCCAATGGGGTACAAATCTCATTATTCAAAAAAAAATTTAACTAAGTACAGATACTCAATACCACCATCAAACGAAAATCACTTAAACGACAACAATCTGACATCACATAAATAACGATAAATTATTATAATTATGAGAATTCAAATACAGTAGTTTGACCGCAGTCAACAAAAGTTGTGAAAAGCGCCTTGTAAATTGTAATTCACGGCGAACTGAAAATACCAGAGTAGCTGTAGAATATCAGGACAACTGAATTCGCTACGCTGCCTATTGTAGAATTTACTCTGTACAATGAGTAGTTCACAATGTCACATATACAATATTCAGATAATTAATATACTTTTTACTGATCGTTGTTCTTCGGCCGGAAAGTTCGGAGTTCGGACCAATAACAGATATTCTCAAAAAGCATTACCAGCACATTCGGATTCGGTTGATCCAGGGCCTTCATCGGTTTTCCATCTTGGGACGAAGAGTTAGGAAAATCGTTCGGGTCACTGCTTGATTCTCCAGTGCGAGAAACTTTCTCGTCTCGCTCCCACCGTTTGCGCTTCTGGTCGAACGTATTATCACTATCCGAGCAGGTGGTCATCGGTTCAAGATGACCATGAGACATCATTTCGGAAGCAGATACAGATAAATTTAATAGATAATTTTAAATTTAATAATAATAATTTTTGTTGCAAAAGTGAAAAGTACTCACCAAGCACCAAGCACCAAGCACAGATCGCATTCTTTATGAATAGTTTGACTTGAAACTCGACCCCAGGGGCGGTAACGTTTGTGGCAACTTTACGCACTACAATGATGGATTACGGGTACGAGTATGTAAACAGTGGCTAGCCGCGAGCAAGGAGCAATGTCTATTTCGTATTTGACAAATACTAAATTTGATATTTTGTGAAATTTACTTCTTTTAAAAGTTGTCATCAAAGCTACGAGTAGTTCTTTTATTGACGCTCGTCCATTTATTAAAGTATGTAATAATTAGTATGATGCAGCATCTTTTCCTGTGAGCACGAATTTAGGGTAAAATACTGGTAGCGATCATAATTAAATTTTACAACAAAGTTATCGTCCTTTTTATTCCATCTGCGACAATTCGTCTTTCGACTCGTGTCAACAAGATTTCGTCATTTACTGAAAAACAACGTGTATGTCTTACACATGATTGCTATTTGCTACATATCGGCCATCAATCAAACAGTACGAGTAGTACCACAAAGTATAAAATCCATTAGGCATCCTCCTACAACAACACCACAACAACTAAAACTTTTTCTGTTTCTTGGCCACACTCTCCCCCAATTCATGCCCCGCCGCATCCCCCTCGCCCTGCTGGAAGATCGTATTAGGCTGCGTCTTCGCGTAGGCCGGCGAAACCCAGTACGGGTCCTTGGCCGCCGCTTCGGCGTGCCGTAGCAACGCCTGTCGGGGATCCACATCCTCATCCTTCCGCTTCTGCGCGTACCCCAACTTCCGCACCAAGAACGAGCTCAACGTGCCGCCCGCCTGTCCCACGCGGCCACCGGCACCCGGTCCCGTCACCGGCAATTCCGGCCGCTGGGATTTAATGGGATCCTTGCGGGCCCGCTCAAATTGCGCTTGCTTACTACGCTGCTTCTCTTCCTTGTACATGGGCAGCGCAAACGGTGTATAAACATAATCCGCGGTCACTGAATCCGCCAGCTTCGGTTTGACGCGTTTCTTGGACGTCCGGCAGAGCAGCGCGCCGTTGTGCGAGATATTAGGATCGAAGAAGACCTTGACGGTGCCTTCGTTGGTGCTGGCGAAGATCTGGTTGAGCCGGGGATGCCACACGATGCGGATGACACTCTGCGGACCGACCGGGTGCTCTTTCACCACATTAAACGTGTTCCGGTCCAAAAACACCAGTTTCCCGTTCTCCCCGCTGCCTTTCTGCACCGCCGTGCCGCAGAGAACGACTTTATCGTTCGGACTGAAGACGCAGTCGGACTGCGAGGAGATATTGGATAATCCGCGCGCCTCGAACACGGGTTTCTTCAGCATGTTCAGATCCCACAGTTTCACCGTGTCGTCCAGGCCCCGCGAGCACAACATCCGGTTGTCGTAGGAGAAACAGATGGAGGAGATGTCGGTGGCGTTCTGGTGGGCGTTGCGGATGGTCTTGGCCGGGTTGACAAAATTGGCTTTGGTGGTGTCCCACATGGAGATGCTGCCGTCCTGGCAGCCGGCAGCGACGAATTTCCCGTCTTTGCTGTAGGCGCAGGTGGTGGGGACGGTCTTCAGCCCGCTGGCGGATTTCAGTTTCAGGCAGACTTTGTGCTTTTCTTTATTATCGATGGACCAGATGCGCAGCGTGCCGTCGTAGGAGGAGGTGCAGAATTCCGATTTGACTTTGGGGGAAAACCACCCGGAAGTCAACATACCGATGTGACCCTAGACAGAACCGGGAAAACTCTAACGACAGCCGGATAGGAAATAAAAAGCACAAATATTTCAATGTAAAACCAAAACTTCCTTCTCGAAGAAAAATTTTCGCCAGATAAAATAATTCAACTTTTTACAATAAAAACTACTCTAGTATTCTGTAGCCTGTATCTGTACGTATGATAATGAAAGCGTTATAATATCAAAAATAAATGCATGAAACTGACAATTAATCAAGAAAACAAAGCAAACAAAAATCTAAAACTGTGAATGATAATCTATCATCAGCCTCTTAGCTTAAAACCGTCAATCGTTAACAAACGAAAAAGCTATTATATAAATACAAAATATTTTTGTCAAATTCAAAATCATGAATAACGTTAACGTAACCAAAATTATAAGACACAGAAATCAGAACGACAACCATCCATTATTTTTCAGATTAAAATCACTGGTTATTTACAAACAGAATATTCGAGATACATGTTGATGTCAAGTTATGTTTTGTCAATAAATGTGAACACGATCTGTGCGTCATGAATTTAAAATTACTTACCTTGGTAGCGGCCATATCGTTGAGGTATTGGAAGCCTTTGGGGCACTCCATGACGTTAAATCCATCACGGTCGATCACTTTGGCCTGCGCATTGCCGGAGACAACCAGCACCTGCTCCCCGCCGTTGCTGAAGCTGACATTGTGGATGGCATGCGATTCACAGGGTTTACACGTGCGAAAAGCGAACAGGTTGGCCTGCATCCCGCCAAAATCCCACAGTTTCACTTCGTAGTCCACGCTGCCCGTGGCGAAACGCGCGCCAACCGAATCCACATTCAGGGCCGTAATCTGCCAGAAAAAATCAATCATCAACAAAAATCACCCACCAAAACAGCTCTTACTTTTACTCAGAGCAAAAGAAAATCAGAAATTTCAATTTGGTGTGCTTGGACAATTTCTGTTCAACATTAAAGTCTAATCGTACAGCGGCTGTTTGCAACTGCCTAATATAATATTTAAAGTTTAATGGGCAATAGCCGCCGAGATAACAATGATTGCGAACGCCGGTACACTACGTGAAAGTTAAACATTAAAAAAACAACCATATATTTAATATTTATTTCAAGATATATTTAATTTTTATTCCAAGTTCAATAAGAAAACAGAGACAAATAAGTACTGATCACCAAAGCATATAATTATCAAAAAAAAACTGTTTAAAAATCATCAGTTTCACAGACCGTGTAAAATCGTCTTAATTAAGGGATTTTACGGATGCATAGTACAGAGAGCCTAATCCCTTATTCTACGATTTCACTGCGCATAACTAAATATTCGTATTTTTGCCTAACGTTCGTATTTTGCAGCCAAAATACTTTTGCAAACGGTGAAACTTTCAAGGCTACTTAAAAAAGCAATAACAGCATCACAACTAACACAATCAAAACAAACCGACCGACCCATTTACAGAAAATCTTACGCTAACACTCAATCAATTCAAACACTGAACGGTACGAAACACAAAGCACATTTTACTGATAAAAATATTTATCTAGCACCTGCTCGGGTTTACGGTCGCGTGTTAAAGCAACGGTAATCCCAATTAGATGTTCTGCGTAATTACTGTTAAATTTCTACCAACACCAACATCAACGAAATAATTTTGTTTGGTTTCTTACCGCTTTGTCGCCGTGTTCGAAGGTGAGATCATACGAACAAGGGATCCGGAAGTCCCCTCCCCCGACATCCGCGCTCTCCTCGTCATCCGACACATCGGAATCATCATCAGCCAGGTCAGATTGGGAGGATCCCGACGGCAGAGCCGAAGAGGATGCTGAAGGCGGTGGGGATGGTCCCACTACCCCGGAGGTGCTGCCGGGGGCCGCGGACGGCTTCGGGGGTAGGGGTGGACCGGGCGCATCGTCGTCGCTGTCGGATTCCGTTCCTTTGGACGACAGTGTGGCGTTCTGGCGGGCCTCGTTGACCAGGGTGTCAATGTCGAAAGTCCGTGATTTTTTCGCACCTGAAAATTCCATCAAGCATCTCAAACATTCATACATGTAATTAAGCTTTATATAATTTATTTTTATAAATTTAAAAATATAATAAGATCTCCATTATCAATTGATTTTATTATTTAAGTCTCTTAAATACCACTACAGTGTCAATGTAGAAAGTCCGTCTTTTTTTCGAACGCGCAAATTCCACGAAGCTTTGCAAAATCCATCGTTATATCAATTTTACGAAAGTCTCTAAGAATTGTGTATCAGTTTTTACGGACATTAAAAAAAGCAGTAATAATAGCTTTCTGAAAAGAATAATAAAAATGTTATTTTTAATTTGTTTTCCTACATTTTTTTCCATTTCAATGGAAAGGATTGAGATATAAAACTGAAACAGCAAGCTACGAGTGTTTTAATTAAAATCTGGTGAGCGCACCTGAGGCGAAACCGGAGAAGCCCATCATTTTCGCCATGGTTTCGTTCTCGTCCTCTTCTTTGGCGGATGCCGCAGATGGTTGGTTGAGTGTGGTGCCAAAAACGTAGGTAGACGCTGCTGTAGGCTCCGCTGCTGTGGGATGTGCTTCTTCATCGTCGTCGGAGCCAGCATCGCGACTAGGACGGAGTCCCACATGGAATTTGTCTGCAGAAGACAACCATCCAGCATTAATTTTCACTCAATACACATATGATCTGTAGTGTAACAATATACGACACAAGTGTATTCTAAAGCAGCGATTAAGAATTTTAGTCATATCTGTAGCTCTTACGTCGCAAATGGCGCATTTCTTCCAGATCGTCTTCTGCCATGGCGAGACCGGAACGCCTGACAAATGTCCAAATAAATCAGGATGATCTATGGACGCTCCGATAGCTCCAGTTTCAACCCAGCAAAATTATAACCGAGGAATCAAATTACTATCAGGCTAACTGCTATCAGCATGAAAATAAAGTGCAGCGAAGCTAGTCAAGCTACTGTGAAAGCCCATCAAGCACAGGCGTTCAAACAACTTGAGACCGCGACAACAAGCTTAAATTTTGGGCTGCAACGGCAACTGCTAATGGTCACTGGTTCAAATATTTATAAGTTTTCTAAAACGATCTAGATGAAGAACTTGAGAACAGTTTTGTTCTTAAAATCTAACTGGAAAATAAAAGGAAACCACTGAAAACCAAGGAGAATCTCAGAATGAGATTAAAAAATTAAAACTGAACAATCACAGTGTGGAATCACGGGAATGCAGCAAAGGTGCTTGATACCATTTCCATTACGTGGTTGTGCTAACGTAAACCGCACAGGCGGTTCCATTTCCAATAATAGGGCACATTTAACCAGCTCCAACACCATTTAATCATACCGGAAAAAGCCGCATTTTCATTTGCTCACAGATCACTGAAAATCAGTCCCTAACAATTAACATAGGTTGTAAAGTGTAAACAAAGCAATTTTCTGGATGACGCGATTTTTTTCCTCAAAAGATTTCTGGTTTCAACGGACTATGATCTCTCTTATTAAAGCATATTTTCTAATTGCCCCAGTGAAGTGCTGATCGTCCGTGATTCAACTGCCTGGCCCGCACACCGTGTTGAATATACTTCAAGTATCCTAAGTTATAACTCACCATCCGATTATCCTATGTTTGGATGATGGGCGACTCGGCCAGAACTCTCCCCGACGGCGCCATCGCCTCGCGGCCGCGCTCCAACACCCTACAGTCCAACACCCGCCGATCCCCCACCGCGACCGACAGCGCAGTGCACGACACCCTCACGCTGCACGTCGAGCTGGCCGCGCACTATACACAGCTACAGACTCTGGTGGAGCGCCTGGAGAAAACGCAAAAGGATTGCGTGAAGCGGGTGCGTCATCTGGACGGGACGTTCAGCGGGATCCTGCACCGTCTGCCGGTGGAGAATCATGCCAAGAGCAACGGGGATGTGGGGGCGACCCCGGAGGGGCAGGGGGCGTGGGAGGGCGCGGATAAGGGGGTGCTGCGCGATCTGGAGGAGCAGGTCTTCGAGTTCCAGGTGTGTTTGGAGAGGAATCTGCAGTGTGTCGATACGGCGATGCGGGATCTGGTCAGGAGACGGCTCAGACGGTGAGGAGAACATAAGGCAGATTGATTTATAGTTTTCTTGATTTTCAAATTGTAGATGTTCTCTGTGTGTTAAATTCTTGAAGTTATTGCTAGCTGTATGATCTCATGGTACGGTACCAACTATCAGGTGCTGGTACTGACTGGTAAGTGGTAGTCCACAATGCAGTCAATACTCACCATCAGTATTTGCGTTTTTCACTAGACCACTTTAATTTACCAATAATTAGTATGTATCGTTGTGGAAATAGTTTTACAGAATTTTATTATGCCAGTCTTAATTGGTTTGTCTTCTGTGGATGCTGGTGGTGGTTTCAGGTTTCAAGACAACCAGTACGGTGTATACTGAATATGTACTTACTTATTTTTTTGCAGGTAGAAGCGTTTTGTACTTGAAATCTTTTTTGTATTTGTTCTCAGTTTTTTCAGCAAGCTGATGATGTTTACAAATAGGACCAGAAGCTTTGAAATTTCGAGTTTATAAAAGTAGTTTCTGCTTAGCTTTGTGTTTCAAAATTGTCGGTAAAACTTGGTGGTTGTACGTGGATATATTGTAGTGCAGAGGCTTGTTGCTGCAGAGGTTACTTCATTTGTACAGTACTTATTGCTTCTGACTTTCCATAAGTATTATTTACACACCAGAATTATCGTGAGACTCAAGTTAAAAAATCTCTTTTTTGCATAAAACTATTGAAAATACAGTTTAATATACGAAGTTTAGTCGGTTTAAATTTGAACCATAAAGTATTGCATAAACGCTTTGCTAATACCGTTATTTGGGTGTGGGTTGCAGTTTTCTTCCATAGTAAATCGCTTCCTCTGCTCTATGTACAAAAACCATAGAAATCGAGGTTCTACGATAGGTACTCGTACCTGGTAATCAGAGGAATCTTTTAAACATGTTTTTAAAAGAAAAACTGGCAAATTAGAAATCGTTTTTATGTTCTAAAACAATTTGTTGTCCTACAGCGAATACGTCCAGACCCAGACGGAATCCACCTCCATAACCGCCCGCGATGTCGCCCTACAGACCTCGGACGATCCCTCTGTCGAAGAAGACGGCGGCGAGCGTATCCTGTATGTTCTTCCCGATCTGGAGGAAGCCGTGGAGCATCTACAGATCCACGCGGAATGCCAGACAGATCTGGCTATGGAGCACTTCCTGGCCACCGTCAACGCTCCCTTCAGCGCCGTCAACCGGGATAATGTTCTGATTATCTACCGGAATCCCAATATCTACTCCTTCCTCAAACCCTACGCTATTGGGGTGGGCGGGACGGCGTTGGGCGTGGTGATGCTGTATAAAGTGGTCAAAGGACTGGTGATGCTGCTGCGTGCATAAAAACTATGTGGTGTTATGGTATTTATGTGAAATGTCAAAAGACAGCTATTGCTTCTGGATTATCTTACATTTGTTTTGTTGTTGCGGTGAGGATGAATTTGTTCGAATTCAGCGGAAATTAAATCAGCGTGCCTTTGGGTGATATGCATTCTTAATGGTATTAATTTGCACACTTCGTGGGGCTGATTTTGAAGCGATGATAAAATAATGACGGTACAGCAGCATTGTTGTTGAGATGGATTATTTATTTTGTGAATGTCTAAGAATTTATCATAAAGAATATGTATACCGGACGTAGCTCTGGTTAGTTTTTTGGCTCAAGTGAATTTAGTTCTGGGAACTGGGGGTGAACGTTATTTTGTTATCAACGCATTATTGCTTCGCATTGTAATGATTATATTATTGCAGTAGATTATCATCTATATGTACTGTATATTGCAATACGTTATACTGTAATCATATTATCCTCTGTGGTAAATAGTTACTACTACATATATTTTTAAGCGCTGGATTTACGAAATACGAGTATAATATTCTTTTCACATATTTTTACGAACTGTGCTTGTGACTTTCTTACTGTAATCTTAATCTTGTTGTATCTAAGCTAAATTTATTGTTTTGGCGTTTGAGTAACGAAGTACAGTAACAACTGTCGGAAGTATAAAATTACCCGTATTAGTTACAGGGAAAGCGTTCCGTACTACGGGCGTTTCAAGAAATACATTGCAAATCCCATTCAGGAAAAATAATTACTGCTTTGCGAAACCGGGTACATATGTTGCATGTTGACCCTCAACGTCGATGATTACACATGCCGATAAAATCACGATGTCTGCTTGCCAACCGTTGTCGCCGTAAATTGCCACATTTACACACTGAAACATCCATATGCGGTAACTTTTCCACACATCCGTGGGAAATTGTAAAGTGTTTACGCGAACCAACATGGGCAAACCACCGGCGATTGGCAGTGACCTTTGGAGTCCAGCAACAGAATGAGTAATTATATAGTGCGACCAATAATCTTGCAATGAAATTCCGGAAGCTTCCATGAATAAACGGGGAATATTCCGGCAAATGTGTTACAGAAAACATTTCTGAGATGGATATCACGAAAATCCGAGTAGTATTTAATGGCCATTGAAAATCATTACCAGCATCGATATTCCTTCATCCAACATTTATTTCTTCGTTTTTATTGACATTCTTCCAAAGTCATGTATCTAAAAAGCGGCGTATTAATTTTACTCTGTGCCATGGCGGCCCACGCCCGGCCCCGTCCCGATGAGGAGACCGTCCCCGTGGCGGTCACCGACTCCGCCGGCAACGCCGTCACCGAGACCTCCACCGTCATCGTCCAGCAGACCGTCGTGACGGAGGTGACCTCGGCCGTTCCCGTGGAAGTGACCACCCTCGTCCCGGTGGAAGGGGACACCACCGTCTCCGTTGTAGCGGAAGGGGTCACGGCCTCCGGCGCGGCGGTCGCCGGTGACAGCGTGACGTTAGGCTCCGGGCAGGTCGTCGTCCTCAACACCGCCTCGGGCATCGGCGGATCCGGCATCGGCAACGTCATGATCGTGCAGCCGACCGTGGCGCCGGCGACGGTGGGGGAATGGCAGAAGGGCGCGTCGTATAATGCCGGGGATATAGTGGTGTGGGATGGACAGCGGTATAAGGCGCTGCAGCAGCATAACGCCTACGCGTATAACTGGACGCCGCCGCAGGCCGCCTCGTTGTGGCAGCTGCAGAATGAAGAGGCCGCCGTGTAATGGGGAAGTGCCGGCTGCTGATTGTACAGACTGCGTCTGATCTTCAACTGCATGTTTGTAAATTACTTATTAACAGTCTGAACTTGCATTTATTATGTTATATGAAAAGCATTCCTATCTATACCTAGTGCGCTAAGAAACTCTGAATTTTCATGATATTCCTTGCAATAGTGTGTATAATTATATGTTACCGGTCATCGCAGCAATCAATAAAAAAGTGCGAAGTATTTCCGGCTGATGAGTGATATAAAAATATATACAATAGCAATTGCACTTTGCACTGTGACCTTTGAAATGGCAGTCACATCGGTCATTTCACATGTGCTCTCATTATTTTTCCCGCCGCGACAACACACCGCAAACCATGCAGCAACATATTTTAAATTGTAATTATCATTTTGTATTGGTTCCACTGCTTTCTCGTTGAATTTCAGGAATACTGTGAATTTTTAAGGGGTCGGCACAATAAAAATGGTTACACCCTTTTAGCATCCACAATGCGAAAGAACAGCTGTTAATACTTCCCTTAAAAATTCTCACTAGCGCAGGATACATTATTAAAACTGATCAGTTTGCGTGTAAACGGATTTCTTATACGCCTAACAGATTTTTTATACTCGTACAGTACTTGTACCCATTTAATTTTCACAGCTTCACAGAAAAATATTTTCATTTCCCGCCAAATTTATTCTGTGGAAGTGCCTACTGTACATACATGTAAATACGTGTGTTATGAATGGGATAACATAATCTGCTACTAACGTGTTACATTTATACGCCTTCCGGAAACAGTTCTTACAGTAATTAGAACGAACAGTGTACAGAATATAGATATTTGGTTAATAGTGCTTGCACACTTTACGTTAGTTTGATGACCGAAAAAAAAACACTGAAAAACATGCACCCGATCAATGGCAATTATCGTATGATGCCACTTAATTGCCGGCGAGAACGTGCCCGTTATTTCAATAAATAGGAAGGTAATTGGCTCTTAATAACCGATACTTAACTGCCTTTCGATACAACGATACGCGAGAACTTTTCGTCACTTTGTTGCCGCATAGAATCCAGAGCGTAGAGTTACTGTAATAACTCTACGCTCTGTTACAAATTACAGAGGGAAGATAATTATTTCTGGCGTATTTATGGTAGGTGGTGTCACAGTGTTACTTTTATAGAAAAAAAGCAAAATCACTATTAACAGAAAAATAAATTAATGAATCGAACAAGCCTACACAAAGGTGCGTGGTGAAAAGGTATACCGATTAATAACAATACATCATCGATTTATAGAGCATATCGTCGAAATTGAAGCGTTCCATTGGCATATATGACAGTAATGCCACTTTCGCGCGCGCGTTCAACGCGCTTGGGTTTTTGACACCGCCGCAAGGGTGTGTTACAAATTTTCCATCGTTCCGAAAAGCTAACGCTTCATTGTCATTCTAAATATACAGGCTGGTGTTAGACAATTATGGATATTATGCAGATTTATTTATATTTTATTGCGTCCGTTGTCTGTCAATGGATATGTGTGCAGGCGGCTGCCAATTATTATCCCGCCACGCCCCCGTCCGTCGTGGTACACGATGACACCTTCCGGCCGGATATTATACTGCGGTTGTCCGGAGTGGTGCTGGCGGTGGCCGACTGTACAAGCCGGTATTCCAGTGTGGTCAATGGGACGGCGCCCGGTCCGACGTTGCGGTTCAAGGAGGGCGATCGAGCGTGGATACGGGTGTATAATGATCATGACAATGAGAACACAACCATAGTAAGTAACAGCCAGCAAAAGCCGAAAGCCACATAATCTGTATTTGAACCTAATGTTTTAATGCACGTAATTTAATAGAAAAGTTAACTGCTTATACAGATATTAACTTATTGCCTGTTATTTTCTCTAAAATACGTTATTATTATGTCAAGTGTGTACGTTTTGAACACATAAGCTAACAGTATTTAGCAATTACATAATATAATTTTTGCTGCATTTTTCATAACTTTTTAACAAACTTAGTTATATACAACAATAATACAATTACGTCTATAATTTTATATTAAAGTCTACCGGCGCAGCACTATTATATACTGTAAGAATTAAGCGAACTGGATGTTACCGAGTAAAGTGCAGCACAACGGGCAACCTAATGTATTTGATAATTGGTTTCTTGCGACGCTAAACAGAAAATGTGTTGTATTTCTTAAAACATCTTTCTATTTCGTTATAATCGGTTACAGTATGCTATATAAAATAATTTAAGAAATACAACTATATAGGTAAAACATGCACATCTGAGGTTTCTCAAAATTCATTATGTCAGTTAATACGAGGTATATTTTACAGAGGTGTATTTACAGAGATATATCACTTTTTGCAGCATTGGCATGGGTTAACCATGCGAACATCCCCGTTCTCAGACGGCACACCCATGGCCAGTCAGTGGCCCATCCCACCGCATCACTATTTTGACTACGAATTCCAACTACAACCCGGCGATGCCGGCACCTACTTTTACCACTCCCACGTCGGCTTCCAGGCCATCACCGCCAGCGGCGTTCTGATCGTTGACGAGGCCGATGGCAAGAAGCCTCCGTACGACTACGACGACGATCTGATCATCCTCTTCTCGGACGTCTACTTCCAGAACGACTCCTCCATGTTGAACGATTTAACCAGCCGGCCGTTCACATGGAGCGGTGACCCGGATAACGTGGCCGTTAACGGAAAATCCCGCGCTCTTAACGCCACACAGGAGCAGCAAGGCTCTGGGTGTGAGATGGCGGTGCTGGATGTGGAGCCGAATAAAGCCTACCGGGTGCGGTTTATCGGGGGTACGGCGTTCTCTCAAGTATACGTCGCGTTTGAGGAACACGCATCGTTAGTACTGATCGAGATTGATGGGAAGTACGTTATGCCGCATGTGGTGGATCATTTAGAAGTTGTACCCGGCCAACGTTACAGCGCGATTCTGTTCACGAAAACGTTGCAAGAATTAACGGGAGCCGATGGGAAAATCCGGGATCGCTTCTGGGTGCAACTGGAAACTCGGTCACCGGATAATGACACGACAGCTTACGCGATTTTACATTATAAGGTCAACTCCAACCCGGTGGACACATTTACACTGCCGGCCACAAAACCATTGACCCTGGCTAGCGAAACCTTCACCGGTGGGTGGTTGGAGGATAAAATCCAGATGTACTATCCGGATCCGGGGAATCCGTTCCCACGGCTGGAAGAGGTCACGCGGCGGATCATCGTCAACGTCCAGGAGATCGTAACCAACGGGTCCATGGGGATCGGGGCGTTCTTCGAACAGTCTGGTTCACCGTGGTTCGAGACGATAACCAACACTATGGAACCGTATCTCGTCTCGTTGTACCGCAACAACACGGCCAACTTCCCGAACTACGAGCGGGCACTGGCCAACGGCGGTTTCGACCCGGTGACCAAGACCTTCCCGGCCAAAATGGGGGAGGTCCTAGAGATAGTCTGGTACCTGATTGGGAATAATTTCACGGGGACGGTGGAATCGCATCCCTGGCATATGCACGGTGATCATTTTTACGATTGCGGTACCGGCAATGGGACGTACGATCCGGTGGCCAATGAGGCGCTGCTGGTGGCGCGACACGGGCGGATCACGCGGCGAGATACGTCGAATCTGTACCGGCCGGCACCGTCGGATCAGCAGACGTTGGGGCCGGGGGCGGTGTATAGTTGGCGGGCTATGCGCATCCGGGTGCAGAATCCCGGGGTGTGGATGATCCACTGCCACGCCCTGCAGCATATGATTATGGGCATGCAGACGGTGTGGGTGTTCGGGGATGTTAATGATGTCACACCGCTACCGAAGGATTTGGTAGATGGGTATTTTACGTTTGGTGGGGCGGCGTACGGGAACGCTAGCCGGGCGGCACGGGTGCTGCATTACTGGCATGATTAGACTTTTGTGAATGACAGCTTCCCCTGTGATTATGACTCTTTATGAGCAGTACCGAAGAAAACTTGTGTATTTACCGTGTACAGAAATGAATGAACAATAAGGGCAACGTACGTGTAATCGAAGACTCTGCATTTAATTTGGCATTACAACATACCTATATCTATACTTGTGGAGATACAGTACTCCAGTTATTCTATCTTTCTAAAAAACCGATTCCAGTCACTTTTTTGTTGCAGTAATGCATTTAATTTAGCAAAGAATTACTGTACTTGTTAATGCACCGAAAACACTGTTATACTGCCTTTCCATCATTCTGAAGACTCGTTCAATTTGTTTCCAAGGAAAAGCAAACTTCTCTACAGTTACCAGGTGGATACATGTACTACGTAGTACAATCAAATGTTTCGATTTACTAAATGCAGACAGCGCAGAGTTACTAACAAGCGCTGCTTGAAGTTTGAAAGTAGCGCTGGTGATTTATGTGGGATGCATCTGTTTGATGCACACTGTTTTTCAGTTTATTAATTGAGTACATTTTTAAGCCGCGGACACTTGACGAATAACTGCATACGCACTGTAGCTGGCTAGCAATTACTGAGTATTTATTGGTGTAGCATTACTCCTGTGAACAACGGAAGTGCAGTTTTTGGAAAAGCCAGACTGCTGCATTATTCTTGATTTACCAGCGATGAGAATGACTTTGCACGATTTTCCCTGGTTCCTGAAACTGAGAAGGGTGTTTATCGGGATTCCACCAGAATACCAGATAGCATGTGATGCTCTGCCAGAATTCCCGGCGGCTGACGGGAACGTGTGACCGGCGATCCGGATATCCGGAAAGGTCATTCTAAGCATCGAATGATATGACATTGTGGTAAATACTTTTACGTGCACACTGAGACGTTAAGGAAAAGCAGGCACAGGTGATCTCAGCCAGATGTCAAAACATGTTGGCAAAAGAAGACGTACAAATTCCCGAAACCATAAAAATTTCATGTCCAGTTAGATTATTGTGTAATTCATGTGGCGTACGGGTGCTGTGCGTTCTCCAGCACCGGCACGACATGGATCAGTCGGTGCACGGAGAGGAATAACCGGCAAGCCCGGCCCTCACTAAAGTAAGGTGCACAGCCGGCGCTTTGCAGTTTGCTGATCTCCAGCTGAGAATTTCTACGCGTTCCTATATCGCACTCTCTCTCTCTCTCTCTTTTCTCTTCGAGCATCCCAAAATCACGGCGGAGCAAAACATTAACAGAGCATTAAGTGGGTGCATATTCGAAACAAAGCAATCAAATGATTAGTAGCACACTTTAAGCACGTAATGTTTTTAATTGAACCGTTATAAATTTTTATAGAAAACGTAATTACCGATCTGTGACCTGCACATGCATGACAGCATAACGCCAGGTAAATCTGTAAGCTGGACCCGCTAATTGCTCAGCGAATGCACAGAGAGAGACGCGGTAGTTCTTTTCCAGTTTGAAGTAAGGAACCCCTTTTTAATGTTCTTTATGCTGACGTCGTGACAGTTTGATTTATTGCCTGTCTGTACAATAGCCGCAATCCTTTCCTCATTCGTCAGTGCGATGTTTAATTTGTGCCCGGTAATTTCTGTTTCCGGTGCTGTCTGACAATTTTTTTCTGAATGAACGGGTAGGAAATTTCCCTGGTTCTTTGTTCCGGTGCCATGCATATGTTTCCCTGCATTATCTCACTTAGGTTATCATCTTGTAATCATAAGCCGTAAATTTTTCGACATCAGTAAAGCAGCAAGCCTGATTTCCGGTCTTCTTATCAACCCTTGTTGTGGACGGAGAACGCAACCCGGATTCAGCGTAATTTGGGGATAAACACAGGAAGAAACTGGCGTCCAGACGGCCTTGGTACGACCGGCAGGAAAATTATTTACTGCCTCGGTACAGGAGAATGTCTGCCGGGGAATTGCTCCAAGATAATTTAATTGCGATCACGCCGTCAAATGATAAATTAATCAGACGGCATCGTATTGCAAAAACAAATTATCCCGATCCAGCGCCATATAATGTGGAACCCGGCATTCTACTTCACAGCTTTGAAAATCAGTGCCATGCGAATTCGACCGATACTTCGCATAGCGCGGTTGTTGCACCCGCTTCATCGCTTTTCTAGCGTTTCCAAGGGAGATCCTTAACTTGTGCTTTATCAGCCACATAGCGAATACTACACATCATGGAAATATTTAACAATACATCCGTTTATCATAATACCACGGTGACCTTTTTCATTCCGCGAACTGGCTGGAACCCTCTACTGATTCTTCAGTTATCCATAGCTGTTATATCCGTTATCTTAAACGCCATGATGCTCGTCCTGCAGTTTCTCCCGCAAACCCACGTGACCTCTTTCACCATCTACCTGATTGTCATAGCCACCGGGAATATCGTCATCATGGTGGTCATGCGACCCATCGGTGTGATGAACTCCTTTACCGGCATCTGGCCAGGCGGACGGCCACTGTGTGCGGCATACACTTACGCTCAGTTTGTCGTTAGTATGATCCCCGTACTCCTGCATGTCCTCATCGCCGTTAACCGTTTATGGGCGGTCACCTACCCCGTCCATTATCGCGTGCGTCATAATAAAAAAGTGGCTTTATTGTTATGCCTGGGCGTAATGGTCTACGTCCACATGGTGCACTTTCCGATTTTCTTGCTGGAATTCTATTACTTCGGTCCAGCAGGAAAGCAGACAGGCTGCCAGCCGGGGGAGGGCGGGATCATACAGTGGCGTCGCGCCGATTTTATTATCCATCGGATCGTGCCGCTTTTTACCATACTTACTATTTACATCTACGTCATTATTAAGCGCTGGTTAAACCGACGCATTATTGCACACCAACCGGAAACGCATCCCAGTGCAGATGCTGATACGCCGAACGCTGATACCGCGGGGAGAAAATCTATAAGCCGCTTGAATCGCCGACAGCAAGATGGCATGGGTATACGACGCCGGACAGTGAAGCCGTTTATCGTTTTGGCCCTGACGTCCATCAACGTTATTGTCTGCTGGGTCCCGGCAGATACCGACTGGGCGCTACTATATTTGAATATGCGACCGCCGGCCTGGGCGCACACCTTAACGGGGACTTTGTACTCGTTGCAGATGGTGTTCGACCCGTTGATGTGGCTGTTCAGCGTACGATAACACCTGCTCATCAATAGCTACCCTAGCGTTAATTTCTTGTTTCGTTGTGCCGAAAAAATAACTGCATCACATCTCTACCGCTGCATCTGCTCTGCTCTGGCATATCTGCTTTAGACTAAATAATTCAGTTTTTGGTACGGGCCTACAATAATCTGATTAATTGCTTCAGCTCCGTCTTTTACCCGTAGTTATTTCTACGGTTACTCGCTCTTGGTAGTTATTACAAATGTAAAATGTTTACGTCAAATAAGTACATGGCACCCGATGAAGAACAAGCAAAGGGCTTACAGAGTTGGCGTAATGCGTCAATCTTTTTCAAAAGCTTCTAGGGTAGTCTAGATTGAGCATTAATTTCACTCACAAATTTCTTTTGCCGATCGGGGACTCCGTATAACAGCCAGCGCTGCGCTTCGACGATCTCAAGAATGATCACATCAAAAATGCATGTACTCCTTAAACACATAAACACGAAAAGTGATTTGTATTAACCTTGATTAGATCGTGGACAGCGTCACAAAATTACATCGAATAAATCAAACAGGAGTTATCAAAATTGTACATATACTCAAACCATTTAGGAAAGCAAGAAAATAAATAATTTATTAAACATGGCTGTTCACCAGTTCGTGTTATCAATATCATGCAACGGTGCCGCTCGATTTTTAACTTGCACCGAATACAAAACCTTTTCCGCCAACATATACAGCGTCTTCCCTGCCCAGGCAATATTAGCCACTGGTCCGGGGGGAGGAATGGAAATAGTGCCGATAAACACTCCTCCCGGGGTGTATACGCGTACTCCATTGCTGACGGTCACGTAAATGTTGCCCTTCTCATCCACTTTGACCGTATCCGGCACGCCCACATCGGTCCCCGTGGAAATGGGATCCAGCTCGGTCAGAACGGGAACACCTTTGTTGCCTTTGGACATGGCGAATACGTGCACGACAATGGGCACGGTGGCATCTGTGGAGCCGTTTCCGATTTGGAATCCTATTTGTTCATAAAACTGTCAATCGCACCTGCTAATACGGCAACGTAACGTATTGTACATACATATGATTAACGATACTACAGTCGAGATGTAACTATTGTTTACGTTATTTACCTGAATTAGCGACGTACAGCCGCGATCCGTCAAGGGAAGGGGAAAGTCCATTCGGCCGGTAGTTAGCCGGAAACTCCCAAATGCGTGTGACATTCAGAGTTCTTTTGTCGGCAAAATAAACAGAAGGCGGCAACGTGTTTTTCGGTCGGAAATTTTGATAGAAACCATAAGGCGGATCGGTGAAAAAGTAGCCATCGTACTGGTCACTTAATACAACATCGTTGGGACTACTAAAATCCAGATTTGGCTGTAATGGCTGCAAAAGCAAAATGCAAAGTAAATTAATGATATTTTTTGGAAGCAATATTGCGAAAGTATTTCACTGACGATTTTTGTAGCCACTAGTGTTTCGATATTCAGCCTCATCAACGAGCCCGATGTCGTGTTATATCCTTGCGAACAGTAGACAATCTCCTTCCGATTAATGCGTGCGCCTCCATTGGCCATCAGAATCGGGGGATTGGTTGTCACTGTGACCGGCACTGCGTTCGGCGTCGCCACATTCAATTTGGAAATGCGAATATGTTCTTCTCCATTGCTGTTAATAAAGCGGTTGGACGAGAAATACAACTCGTTGGTGGTCTCCACAAACACCGGTCCTTCGTGAAATATCGCGTCGTTTGACTGGGATACTTGCCTAAATGTGTTCATGTCCACAATGTCCGATAAAGACACTGCCGGGTTTCCGGCATAGCTTTGTGGGGCCGCATATGCGGACGGTAATGCATAAGTCGGTATAATTGCCGGGGCAGATGGATAGGAACCTACCAGAGGGACCGGTGATGGAGGTGACGGATACGGTATGGGTGGGCCCTGTGGTATCTGATAAGCTGGTAACTGAGAAAGTTGATATTGTGGATAGAGTGCCGGATTTTGGTACGGGATGGGTTGCGGAACAGCATAATGCACGTCGGGAGGGGCATGATTGTAAGGATAGTAACTGCTATTGACCGGAGCTTCATTATAAGGGTACCAGCGCCGTCTGGGTAACGGTGCATAAGGGCCGGGATAATTCTGACTGGTACCTCGTCAAACAACAAATCTTGCATAATTAACATCTATCGATGCATTTCATGCGTAAGTTATAATGCTACTCGTATAAAGTATTATAAATTTTGTTACTTCCAGCTGGACAACAGTACACAAACCTCCACCGCTCTCCTTATGGGATTGTTGTTTAATTATCACCTGGTTCTTTTCAATAATTAACAGTATTCTTCAGAAAAAACGGTTATATTATGATATGCATGTTTTTTTGCAATGTCTAAATATACTGCCGATTTTTCATACAAATTTCTACATATTTACCGCTACGTAAATACGCACATCCTTTTATTTGCATTTATGTCTACCTTGAACGCGGACAATGTAAGATCCATTCATAGCCCGCTGTAGTAGTGGGTCATACGTCACCGGCTTATAATCAGAGTTTGTTGGCACTGGAAAATAACTGGCACCGCCATCGCTGTTCCGGTTAAGATATCCGGCGTTATAATAACTTAACTGATGATTCTCTGACAGGATAACACGTAAAACATAAGAAATAGCAATAAAACAATGCCAGTATAATTTCACAAACGTATAACGATTTCCCATCCTGATATTGATGTACTGGTACATTTACTGCGTATGGCTTGTAGCTGGATGATCAAAACCCGCAAAAATTAGCAAAATTTTCACTGGACGCAATTGAACGCCACATTAGTGCGATGGCGTTGCGGTTCAAAAACCAGGTTCAAAACACAAGCGATCATTTACATTTCTGTACAAAAAAGAGGTACGAGCATGACCTTTGACACATTGCGGAGACCGATCGACTGTGAATCGTCAGTGCCACTATGGAATACGACTGATCTTTAATGCGATTACGCCTCCGGAATGATGCATTTACATACTGACACATGTTCGTAATGCTGAATTAAACATTAGCATTAAGCCCAAATATTACTTACTCTGTATATTATATGTACTGTACTAGTGCCTCCGGAATGATGCATTTACATACTGACACATGTTCGTAATGCTGAATTAAACATTAGCATTAAGCCCAAATATTACTTACTCTGTATATTATATGTACAGTACTAGTACATCAGCTGCAGCTATAATTACATTATATTACACAAAAGATACTACACAAAAACTCATAAATCATTATGTTTATTAGTTAATATGATAATCATATTTGATTTGTTGATATTGTTTTCGTGACGCTGTCCACTATACTCAAGCTTAATAAAGATTTATACTCGTATAATCATTTGTCTGTATCCAGTTATGAAGTAAAATTGTTGGACTGACGCTTGATACTTGATAGTTGCTGGGCACGGTTTTGCTCGACTTGATCGTTTCTTATATTCAGTGTTATTCGCTGCATAGTTACTGGAATGCTTATTACTTACGTATAACTGTAAAAGTAAACCCGCGCAGGCGTATTGTTTATAACATTACTTTTATTAGTGTAAACCCGCGCAGGCGTATTGTTATGTGTAATGGCAGATGCATAATGGCAGATGGAGAGACTGTATAAGTTAACCACTAGCATAATCTGTAGTTTGTGTGAAAACATTTTTACGAGTCAGATACATGACCTGCATCCGTAATTTTGTATGAGTACATGACACATTACAAGTTTCAGTTGACAAAAAAACAGGGTTGCGCTTATGTTGTGTGCATTTCTGAAATTATTATGAGTCTTTATTGAAGTTGCTTCTGTGAAGCAATCTGTTTAATTCTACTGTTCGTTGCTGTGTTGCTAAATGCAGTCATTGCCGCGCTTATCTCAAGAATCAATGTATTACTTGAACGCCTGTGCACGAAATTGCCTGTGCACGAAATTTTAAAAATTTATAAATAATTTTGGAAAGGAAAACATTTATTGTATCACCAGTTTGTGTTATTAATATCATGCAACGGTGCCGCTCCGTTTTTTGCTTGCACCGAATACAAAACGTTTCCGCTAAGATGTACAATGTCTTCCCCGCCCAGGCAATATTGGCCACTGGTCCGGCGGACGGAATGAGGATGGTGTCGATATACACTCCTCCCGGGGTGTACACGCGGACTCCATTGCTGACGGTCACGTAAATGTTGCCCTTCTCGTCCACTTTGACCGTATCCGGCACACCGACGCCGGTGCCCGTGGAAATGGGATCCATCTCGGTCAACACGGGAACACCCTTGCTGCCTTTGGACATGGCGAAGACGTGCATGACAATGGGAACGCTCGGGTCCGTTGAACCGTTGCCGATTTGGAATCCTAGTCGTTGATAAAAATTGTCAATCCTACGTGCATGTGTGGCCCATTGAACGGGGGCGCTTAAGAGAAATATTGACATGTATTGAAAAAGTCTTGTACCTGAGTTGGCGACATACAACCGAGATCCGTCGGCGGACGGCGAAAGCCCATTTGGCCGGTAGTTCGAGGGAAAAAACCAAATGCGTGTGACATTCAAACTTCGTCTGTCGGCGAAATAAACAGCAGGCGGCATGGTGTTCTCGGGACGGAAGTTTTGATAGTATCCATATGGTGGATCGGTGAAAAAGTAGCCATCGTACTGGTCGCTTAAAACAACATCGTTTGGACTGCTAAAATCTGGGTTTGGATCTGCGGTCCCGAAAGGCCGCACAATTTGCAAAGGCTGCAAAGGGAGCAAAAAGGTAAGTTAAATCCTACCTACCCATGAACAGCATGTCACTTACGATTTTTGTAGCCACGAGTGTTTCGATATTCAGCCTCATCAATGATCCCGGCGTCGAGTTATACCCTTGCGAACAATAGACAATTTCCTTCAGATTAATGCGTGCACCTCCATTAGCCATCAGAATCGGGGGATTGGTTGTCACTGTGACCGGCGTGGCATTGGGCGTGGTCACATTCAGTTTGGAAATGCGGATGTTCTGTCCACCGCTGCTGTCGGTAAAACGGTTGGACGAGAAGTAGAGCTCATTGGTCGTCTCCACAAACACCGGTCCTTCGTGGAATATCGCCTCGGTTGACTGTGATACTTGCTTAAATGTACTCATATCTACAATGTCCGATAAGGACATTGCCGTGTTTCCGGCATAGTTTTGCGCGACAGACAGGCTGACGTGCACCAGAAAGGTAAATATTTTCCAGAACATTGTCGCTGTTGGAAGGAGCAGGAAAGATGTATCGTCGAGGCTTTGCTTGAATATGTACAACGTCTAGTTTTTGTGCATGACGGTATCAATATCAACGTCTAGTTAATGATATACTGGGTATATAAACAGGTTTTCAAGCTAACTTTGCAGAAGCTGATATTGCTGAAATATAATGCCGATCCTTGTTCAAAGCGTATTATTGAATGAACAAGATGCGGTGTCGGTGTACGCGAAAGGTTTTTGTCTGTAGAGTGCCATTTAAGCGATGGTCTGTTTCCACAAGCGGTGATTTATTTTCTTATTGTGGCATAAACGCCGATTTGATAACTCTATTTGTACTTGCACAACAGATTGCTACAACCGCATTATGCCATCATTGGGTTTGTAATAATTTGTTTGGTGTCGTAAAAGCACTTTAAGGTACGAGTACATTATGCAGCCACCCAGTTTTTAAAACCCCCCGGTCAGACGCTGCTTCGGAAAACCGTTACAACAGTACGATTTGCCGAGAATCCAGTTGCTATCATGCTCTATTATCCGCTCTAACTGAAATACCCAGACCAAGTACGGTATTTACGTACCCAGACCGAGTAAGTACGAATGAAGATGTACGAGTATTTTGTCCCCTTTCAATCGATTTTCACAAAACATGATAAAACGAGAAAATCATTATTCACGAATTGCCATTTTAACCACCAAAACACGTGTTTACTCTCTTCTATGCCTTCGATACTGCCAAGAACAGACACTACAATCATTTCCTCTTTGAATTTCAGCACTTGATATAAAACCATCTAAATACCGATCTACAGTACAAGGGAATACGTACACAATAATAACATACGGGTAGACTTAAATTTTATTAAATTCACAGAATAAAAAGCAGCTTAATAAATCTATCACCTGAAACGTTCAGGTAAATGCACTACATGTCTCTAATATGAAACATACGCAAAAGAAACCGGGAGTGGAATAATAAACAGGCCCATAACATAAATCACCTGATCTGTGTCCGACCTAACCTATCTTCAACTACCAAACGACATGCGGGCAATTGATCATCAGCTTTTAAATAGAATTAGCTAAGCTAATTCCGGTTAACGCAGCGGAGGCGATCGCAAGGCTGGACGACTTGGTTGACCAGTGTTCAGCCAAGAAAACCCATTAGGGTGTGTCTTGGGATGCATATCCCGATGCTGTATAAGCAATGCAGTTTCGGTTGTGGATGTTTCATGTGTAGTGACTGTGCATTTCTGTTAGTGCATTTTCAGTTCATGTTGTGTTGGAGTAAAGGTTGTTCTCGTGTAACAAGTTGTTCTTCCCTCCCGCCCACCCTCTTTGGAGAGGAGAGGGGGGGGTGTTTTAGCAAGGACGGCGGGGCCGGTTGCGCCGGTGTCCCGTGTTCCGGTGCTAGTGTCTTCACCCAATGCCCAAATAAAATTGAATCGTTACGCGCTGCTGTTGTTCCTACCGTAGACTGCGTTAAGAGCCCATTATTCACTATTGCAGTACTCCTATATATTGCTCTTACACGCCACGCGAGAACACCAAGGTCGGCTCGGAATTTACTTCCTTTGGGCAGTTATGCCGAACATGGCCGGAACCGGCCCCAAGCCATCACAAACACAAAAAAACGAAGAAAAAAATTTTACGCAGCAAGTGACACATATTAGCGTTTAACATTTCCAAATTTATACCAATTCAAACACTCATACATAACTGTAACAGAGAGACCACTAGAAAGGGGTGTGCCGTGTGTGCAAGCAATACCCGGATTCCTGCGTCCCTCTGCATCCAATCCGTACAAGACTGCCGATTTTGCTGCTTGCCAGAAGACGTTTCTGTTTTTATGGTTTTTGCGTGACAAACAATCAAACACTAGATAAATCATAAATATCGAGAAACTTGACAGTAACGGTTTGTGTACTTCGAAATCACGAGAGCAGTGTCACGTTTTTAATGCGAAAAACGAATAGAGATCGAGTATTCTCTTGAAAATCAACATATTGTTTGCCATCCAGCAGGTGGTTTGTACTCTGAAAAACAATACTCCGATTACATTTTTAATCTCCGCTTTGACACTGACCTTACTGACTTGTCGAGCAAGTTCGTAAGGGGCACATGCCAGTATGACGAAGTCAGACGGATGTTTACAAACTGATTGAATTATTAGACAAATTTCAAAGGGAGACTGCACCCACAGTATGACATAGTTTAGCAGTGGTCGAGAAATTTAGTTACAGACGTAGTCTTGTGACGGAGCACGTCTACAGTAAAATGACCTTTGTAAAAGACAGAAGAGAACGGACCCTCGAATCGAATCTTTCACTTTGCAATATGACACCCAAAATAATATTTTGACAGCACATGTTACAGCTACTAACTGCAATCATAGAATGACTGCATAGGTTCCGTAACATTAGGTCGAAGAACGTTCGTATTTCCAAATTCCACGGTTTTCCGGCACAAAAGTTTTAAAGCTCCTCAAGCCGGAGCTTTTGTTTAGATTCATTTTATTAGCACGCGTACAACTCGGCAGTTTTCTATTACGTCATATATGGCTTTTTTTAACAACACCACGGCTCAGAACGCCAGCCAGCCGGCCGCTGCACAACTGGGCTGGACACCGTTACTGCTGGCATCCACAACCATCTCCTGTGCGTCCTTCACCTGCAACGCCATCATGCTGCTTCTCCAGTTCCTACCGCAGACACTGGTCACATCTTTCACCATCTACCTCATCGCCATCTCCATCGGGAATATTGTATGGCTGGTCGGCGTGCGGCCGCTCGCTGTTTACAGCTCGATTACGGGCGTATGGCCTGGAGGTCACGGCGTGTGTGCAACGTACACGTATTTCCAGTTCGTTATCAGTCAAATACCCGTACTCATCCATGTCCTCATCTCTCTCAACCGTCTCTGGGCAGTCAGCTATCCCGCATCGTACCGGCAGATCCATCATAAAAAGATGGCAGTTCTACTTTGTCTAGCAACTGTGGCATACGTCCACGTCGTGCATTTTACCATGTTTTTACTTGAGTTCTTTCACTACAGTCCAGCTGTTAAACCGAGTGGTTGCCAGCCGGGTGCCGGAGGGATACTCAACTGGCGACGGGTCGACATCATCATCCATCGCATCATTCCTCTTTTTCTGGTTTTGGGTATCTATATCCATATAATCTTTAAACGCTGGATGAAGAAACACGAGCAACAGGCTGTAAATCCAGCGTCCAGCCAAAATGCTACAGCTAGTACCAAAGCTGCGGGAGAAGCCGGTGGTCTAGAAAGGTTAGCAGGGATCATGCAAGCAGGACGACGTCGTTCGCTAATCAAGCGGCGTCAAGTGAAGCCCTTCATTATCCTGACTGCTACGTCAATAACGGTTTTCATTTGCTGGGTCCCGTCGGATGTTTACTGGGCACTGATTTATCTGAACTTTCGACTGCCCTATTGGGTATTTAATATAACATCGACGTTGTACTCTCTGCAAATGTTTTTTGACCCCATAATGTGGCTGATCAGTCTACGATAACAGTACCCCGTGCATTTTACTCGAAAAGATGTTTTATTGGGTTATTCAAATCAACGTTGGTTAAACACAAGATCACTTAAGCACTGGTTAAACGCCAGATCACGCAGTACGTACAAGTATTTCTTTTCCGCATATAATACACTTCGTCCAAGACTCCAAACTCTTACCGCTACAGAACGTTTCGTGAACGCAAGCAGCATTGCCTTGCATTAAAGCGACATTAAACATATTTATAGATTAGGTGCATTTTTTAAAGTTGAATAATGTATTGTCTTAATGATTTGTCAATTTCGAATAGCAAGAGTTTTTTCTTGTGAAATAAATACAATAGATCACACGTTAATGGAGATTTTGTCCATGAAAACATGTTCTTGAAATGGGTCGATTTAAATGATCAAAGAGGTAGAACGCGCTATACGTTATGGACACCCTACCGGACTCTGACGGCATATCCGAAGTGATTTTGGTGTAACTTTGAATGTCATTTGCTGTTACCGCATACGATAATTGGCATGCCGCAGTTTATGGTAATGCAAAATTTTCTAACATTGTCTGTGGGGTGCCAAGTACAGATATAACGCAACCATTTCAGGAATCAGCACCCCCAGACTTTCTATCTGGAACAATAATAGCGACACCGAATGTGTTTTGAGCATGCCGCTCTTAATTTGTGAAAGACTAATCATGTACGTAATTTAATCGACTGCTCCTTCTGCCTTTGGTTCAGATCAATCGGGGATGAAATTCGTTAATCGTTAATAAGAACTAAAGATGCTGCTAACGTTCAAAGACATCGTGCGATCAAAAATGATCAAAAATCAGTGCTTAGAACCTAAGTAGGGTAAGTAATTAAACCGTAAGCGAAGTGGAAACAAGTTCTCGATCTCATATTGTAGTGGGCTACTGGGCTCAGTGGGCTAAATGGGCTACCTGCTCTGATTCGAATTTAATTAAATTAATTAAATTAAATTAAATTAGTAATGTCTAAACACGATGCTTCAAAATCTACGCGTATACGGCGTATTTAATTAATAAATTGCACACATTTCGAATTGCAATACAATGAATGATGCAAGCAAAAGCAGTTAAAAAGCCAATATCACGATACCATGGGCGACACGCTTTTAAGGTGTGGCTAACAAAGCCTGGACCAACGTAATGCATCTTAATGTAAATTTACTGGCGCTTTGACCTAACCTTTAAACGCTTGATTTTTCTTTTTCGGCATTACCATAGGATAGTTTTGGGATAATCAGGGGCGCTGAAGAGAACTAAGTGGTATTACTCAAGCTCTTTTACTTCAGGCTTAAAAGCCACATAAGCGGGTCAAAAATTGTTTGCAGAGCCGTCAGAATAATGCTGACGTTGAAAGTCCAGAAAGGCATTTGGATGCCGGCGTAGAGCATTGCCCAGTAGATATCGGCGGGAAGCCAGCAAACCAGCACGCTAAGCGTCGTCATCGTCAGGACCAGAAACGGTTTGACCTTTCTTTGCCGAGCATACTTCCTTCTCAGTCGGCGAGACCTCACTCCCTCTGTGGCACTTGCCTTCGTCTCGCTGCCACTAACTCCTTGGCTCGTTCCAGCGTTGCTATCATTATTAACCGCCCGCCTGTTCTTCCAGCGCGTCACTGTCATGTAAATATAAATCCCGATCACCAGCAGCAGCGGAATAAACCGGTGCAGAACGATATCCGCGCGTCGCCACTCCAGAATGCCTCCCGCGCCGGGTTGGCAGTTGTTGTGTCGGCCGGGCGGACTGTAGTAGAAGAATTCCAGCAAGAAGAGGGAAGTGCACAAGATGGACATAGCTACCGTCCCCAGACACAGTAACGCCGCCGTCTTTTGGCTGTGGTGTCGCCGGTACGAGTGAGGATACTGGAAAGCCCATAGACGGTTCACCGAGATGAGGACGTGCAGGAATACCGGGATCTGCGTGATGACAAACTGTACGTACATGTACAGGATACATACGGGTTGGCCGCCGGGCCAGGCGCCCCGGACAGTGTTGATTACGGCGATGACCCGCATCACGGCCAAACCGGGAAGATTACTGATGCAGATGAAAATCAGGTAAATGGTGAAGGAGGTTAAGCGCATTCGCGGTGACAGTTGTAGCAGCAGTATACCTATGTTTAGAATGACGGCGATGGCAGCAATGGCGGTCAAGAAGCCAAGTATGGGATTCCATCCGGGTCGGGTGCCGCCAGACTGCGTGGCATTAAACTGGCGAAATGTTGTGTTATTAGCGGCATCCATCAGAAACAGGTTTTTTTTCAAATATTGATAAACAAACGGGAATGCACTGATATTTGTAGATGGATGGTGACAATCTCGAGCTCCAAATATACAGTAACTGCCGTCTTTAGTAGAGACAAAAGGATCGCGGAAACTGATTTGTAATTTTTAATTGTGCTCAAATGAATTTCGATGTTTGCATCAGACCCTGGATTCCGGAATATGAGGATGTAATCCAAATGAACCATGAGAAAGGAAGTTAATTTCCTGTATGAATTAACAGAAAAGATAACAGCCTACACATGACGCGCGCGTGGGATGTTATTTATGCTGCCGCTTGTCTGTCTACACAGAATCAATGAGATTTGCGGTAATATTCCAGGCCAAATAACAAGACATTCAACGACGACTGCCATGCTATAATTATGACCTTTTTGATGCTTACGCAATAACATATCAAAACAATAGATGCAATCCGAAAACAAGAAAAAAACCAGCTGGTGATCGCTTTGTGCGGGAATCAAAGAAAACCGACCTTATGACGCACTACGCCGCCGATAAGAAAAGAAAGTAATCCGCTCACTTCTGCTCGTTTGCATAAGTCTTACGTATACGTAGATGTAGAGTGTAGAGATATCGCAATTGCAAGGCTAACCGCTTGGCGTACGCAATCGATTTCCTGCTTATGCACTGGGATACGGTCAAGACTACAACGGAGGTATCTGTCTCCGCATTTGTCAGTTCATTTTTAACCAGCTCCTCCCAGCAAGAATTCTATTATGTGGTTACATCATTAATTGGATCGTTTAGTGGCAGTTGCCGGTGCCGACGTAAACAAGCCTATCGGAAAGGAGGTAAACCATATTTCTTTTAAAAGCTGTCCAATATTCCGGCATATTTGAAAAAGGCAGCATTCAACGGTACGATACCAGTATCCGGGACAACCGAGATTCTGTAAAGTAGCCGTAATTACGGCAGTCATGGCAAGCAAAAGTATGTAGCGGTTAAAGGTCATCCTGACGCTGTTCTCATGTTAACACTCGAACAGTGGCTGGCCAAACTACTTTCGCGGACCACCTATTCCAGACATCCGATCCATCGTCTCCAGCACTCTTATAACAACAATCGTGCACGGTTTTTCGCTTCCTGGAAAAAGTGATAGTGGCGTAAGCGCTTGTATAATCAAGCTAATTAACGCGTTAACACAAGTTAGCAGCGTGCAAATCCGTACAACGAGCTCGTTGTACGGATTTGCAAATTAGGTTAGCTGAACAAATTAGGCTCGAGCCTAATTTGTTCAGCTCATCCCTGAATCAGCGGAATATAAGACGACGGTCATGTGATAGATGGGCTGGAATGCTGGCATCAATTTCCTGATTTCTAACGGCTAAATGTCACCGGATTTTGGAATACGGTAAGAGGATTTAACTGCATACCGCAGTATAGGACAAGGTCATGGTTCTATTGCAGATACATTCCGTAAAATCGTCTACGTGGACGTTGACCTTTCATTAGAGTTCTCCTAATTGTCCTACAGTGAACCGGTAGCTGAATAATGAATTCCACTAGCAACACTACAATTACCTTCAACACCACTCAGCCGGCAGCTGCACCATCAGGCTGGACGCCCGTCCTGGTCATGATGGCCCTCATTGCTGGTATCTCATTTTCATTAAACGCCGTCATGCTCCTGCTACAGTTCCTCCCGCAAACCCGCATCACATCCTTCACCGTGTACCTGATTGCCATATCCATTGGAAATCTCGGCTATTTAGCCATCGTCCGGCCGATCGGGATTATGACCACCGCAACGGGAGCATTCCCCGGCGGTTTGGCATTATGTATGTTTTACATGTACGTGCAGTTTGTCATCTGTCAATTGCCGGTACTGGTGCACGCCCTCATCTCCATCAACCGGTTCTGGGCGATCAGGTACCCCGTATCCTACCGGCATCGTCATCATAAAAAGATGGCCATTTCGTTGTGCGCCGGCGTGCTGCTGTACGTCCACGTGGTGCAGTTTCCTATGCTCATGGTGGAATACTTAAGTATCAGCCCTATCAAGGAAGGTTGCCAGGTGACCAGCGCCTCGTGGATGCCCTGGCGCATCGCCGATATCGTTCTGCATCGCTTCGTGCCGCTGATTCTAGTCATCGGAATTTACATCTACATTATTGTCACGAAATGGAAAAAGAAGCGTGCTGTTGATCACCACGAAATGAGCGCCGTCTCCACGCAGAATGGCACAGTTTTCACGAAGGCGGATATTGTCGAGGATGATGATGAAAGGGCCGCCGAAAAGAAACCCAAAGGGAAGAAGTCCCCAGGGAAGAAGCGGCAGGTTAAGCCGTTTATCGTACTAACGATGACCTCAGTTTCCGTGCTGCTGTGCTGGATTCCCGCGGATGTGTATTGGACGATGCTGTACGTGGGATTCCGCTTACCCGGCTGGGCCTACACAATAATCAGTACTTTATACAGTCTGCAAATGATTTTCGACCCTCTGATGTGGATGATTAGCCTGAAATAACCGAGTAGTGCTATATACTGTATTATAATTTATAAGTACCTAGTTCGTAAATTTGCTGATCGAGTATTGCTGTCTACTTTTGGCTGGCGAACCTTATCAGAATCTTAGTGGCTAATGGTGGCTCTTTCAGCTGTGCACACAATAATTACGGGTCGTTAATAATGCGTTCCTTTAGGTTTCTCGCGGATCTTTCCGTAACACCTGTGTCGTTTGAGGCACCTCACATACAGTACATGAAAAATTTTTTGCACTTGATAGCGTGAATAAAAGTGTTCGTTTGTATCATATTCTCATTCGATTTGAAACAGTAATAGTCGTTTACCTGAATTAGCGATCGTACAACTGAGATCCATCCGCGGAAGGCGAAAGTCCCTTCGGTCGGTAATTAGGAAGAAACTCCTAAATGAGTGTGACATTCAGACTTCTTCTGTCAGCGAAGTAGACAAGAGATGGCAATGTGTTTTAGGTCGAAAGCTTTGGTAGTAGCCATAAGGCGGACCAGTGAAAAAGTAGCTGTCTGTTGGCCGCTTAACAGAATATCGTTTGGACTGCTAAAATCCAGGTTTGGCTGCAACTGCTGCAAGAACGATAAATAAAATTGTCAGGCTGACGTTATTACGTACGAGTTACGACAACGCTTAACGGTTTCGGTCACCATTTTTGCAGCCACGGCCCACGAGTGTTTCCATATCCAGTCTCATCAGTGACCCCGGTGCGTGTCGTGTTAAGCCCTTGCGAACAATAGACAATCCCTTTAAGGTTAGTGCGGGCGCTTCCATTAACAATCGAAGTCGAGGGACTGGTTGACACCATCACAGGCGCTGTACTGGGCGTGGCCACATTTAATTTGGAATTCGGCATTCAATTTGTCCACCATTGCTGTTGGTAAACCGGTTGGACGAAATGCACAGCTCATAGAGAGTCTCAACAAACATCGGTCCTTCACAAATATCGCCTCAGTTGACTGGGGATACTCAATATTTTCCAAGCCTTGTCGTAGTTGGACCAAAGCACCATCAGACTAGTGATGCGTTAATCTGCAAGTGTGAAGGTTCGTATGTGACACTAACTCTGTTAAGCCGAAAGCGCTAGACTTTATACACGAAGTTTATACGTATCGACGTCGAGTTTCTACGAGTATCATGTAACCGGTTTAGCACGTAATTTTGCGTTTTGTCAGCACTAATTGTGAAAAACCCATTAAAGTCGCTGGTTTTAAAGTCAATGTTCCAGAATGCCGAATTATGTATAATGCCGATACATGTCCTGCCCGTAATTCTTAGTTGAACAAGGTGCAGTGTGAGTAAGCGATGGTTTTTGTCTGTAAAGTGCCATTCAGCGATAGTTAATTGTTTTCATAAACGGGGATTGTTTTCATGTTCAAATTTCATAATTATGTCTATTGTAACTTATTTCACACAGACTGTTGTAACAACACTATGCGAGTTTTGGTTTTAATCGTTAGATGGCATAAACGCACTTTAAGGCACGTTATGCAGTTGATCAGTTTTTAAATCCAAAGGTCAATACTTTATCAAAAACGGATGCAGTCACTGCATCGCTTATCGACAAACATATATTACGTACCATATGTGCTCCGCGCTAATAATTTCAAATATGTAGATTGATTGTAGCCTCCCTGTAAATATTTTGGTATACGAACGTTAACAGTTTTCCACTCGTAAGTTTAATGTTGCTGTCGTCTTTAATTAATCAATTAACATGCCACAAGCGATACATTCATTATATTTGCTTTGTTTCATGTTGTCACGAAGCGTTCCCTTAACTGACCCGTTTTCCAATTTTTACGACCATTAAGGGTACAGGGCACATCTTAGAATCGATACTGACATGCAATAATACTCATTCTCACCAATTAAAAAGCAGCATAATAAACTTACTGACAGAAACATTTGCAGCTATGTCTGATGCGCATTTAATACTGTAGTAAAATATTAGACTACAAAAGAAACTTCGAGTATCAATTCGAAGTTTCGATTTCGAGAACTTTCGATTTAAAGTATTAAAAATCCGTTGGCAAACACTCGTAGGATATTTAAGTACGTACCTGTAAATCAAAGCATCTAGAGAATGTGGATTCAAATTCTGTCACCTGAGTATCTTATTTTGCGTACAGTAAGCGATATCGTTTTTCGCGGTAAGGTAAAGAGTGCATTCCATCGAATATCGGTACTGTTTGCTGTGCAGCTATTACGAAGACTCAGACATTCCCGTATCTTTCCAACGCCAGTTGGTTTTTTGTGCATAATGCGCAGTAGATAACGACGGGTAACGTGTGTCATCACGATCCGGAACTTATCTGCGCTCCGAATGGTCAAAACAACTATACCGCACGTATTCAAGATACCGCGCTGCACAGCTCCGTTTTCTAACATACCCGTCCTTATCTCTATGAATCATAACTTATGCACCATAGTGCGCTGCACTGGCCGTATACCAGCCAACAGAGAAAGATGTCTGACTTTTCGTA